GGGGGGGGGGGGGTCGGCGAGGATTGTATGTGTGCGTGCGTGTGTGTGTTTGTGTGTGTGCCTGTGCGTGTGCGCGTGCGCGTGTGTGAAAGGAAGTGCGCGCCTGGTGACGTGTCTGTGTGTGCGCATCCAAGGGGGGTGTGGACAGATGAGACGGTACAGTCCACCATCAAGCATCCAGCATGTGTGCCAAAACCACCGTCGGCCCGTTCGCCGGCCCCAGAGCGGCCATGGCCGCGCCGCTGGGGCAGCCGTGGGCGCCGGCCGGTTTGCGGGGTGGCGACACACAACCATGGCAGCCGGCGCTCACTCTCGGCGAAGAAGAGGTGGGCGGCCTTGAACTCGACGTCCACATAGGGCGCCCCCAGGATGGCCGCATACTTGAGGGTGGCCAGGCGCTCGGGCTCGGGGCCCGAGTAGTTGCCGCTGCAGGGGCAAGGTGAAGGGAAGGTGTCGGCAAGGTGCTGGGGATGGCGTGGTTGGGAAGGGGAGTGGCTGCAGGGTGCGTGGCGTGGCGGGTGTCGCAGCTGCGGGGACTGGAGCAGGGACGGGATGTAGCTGGTGCGCTGAGCTTGTAGGGGTGGTCATTCAGCCATACCGAGGGCGCTCCCAAGCCCTGCAGCCGTCGCAAACGTCGACTGCTCCTTGGTCAAGCCGCACCCCGCCGCAGCTGCCTGCTTGGAGCAGGGCGCGAGCGTGGCGGCCGCGACACCAGCGCGACAGCAGCTGCTGCGACCGGCGGCTCACTTTCGCAGCCGTGCCACGCTGTCGACATTTTCGGGCCCCCACCACAAAAAAACACGCCCAGCGCATAGATGCTGCGCCGGCACCCCACGTGGCTTGACCGCCGCCCGGCAGCTCACCCCTCCCAGGTGGGGCGGTACGTGACAATGTAGGGCACCTTGCAGGCGTCCATCAGGCGCTTGAGGTCAGAGGACGGGTCGAATGTGCTGAGAAAGTCCAGGCGCAGCTCAATGACATCGACGCCCGCAGCCGACGCCTCTTCGATTTCGGCGAGCGCGCCCTCGACGCTGTCCGCGGTCACGCTGGTGCAGATGTAGGTCGGCTCGCTGGGGCTCCAGGCTGCTTGGGAGGCCTCTGGCGTTGCCTGGGCTGCGCTGGTCGCGCTGGGCTGCCGCGGCATGGCCGATGACCGATCTGGCTGCGTCCACTGAGGCCTGGAAGCTAAGCGGAGAGCCACAAAGGGACGCAAGCGGATGGAATGCGCCGTTAGTATTGGTGTGACGCAGCGAGCACCGACGCCGGATCGCGAAGCGAGAGCCATCCTATGGAGGCACGCTTAACGTGCTGTTGCAATCTTAATAATGTATAAAAAGGCAATGTGCAATCGTAGTAAGCTGATTGTGCTGAGATCGTATGCCTGCAGCAAGTGCCGAAGTGTATGCACTGCTGCTGCTAGTGCTTCGCCGCCCGCTGCCATAGGTGCTGCATCCAAGAGCCCTTCATATCTGAAGTCGGAAAATATCCAATTGCATTTGTGACACGTGTATATGACCTACTTGCAGTATTACTGCTGATGGCGTTCTCTCTCGCCCAATCTAGGCTGTCGTGACAGGCATGGCCCTTTCAATACATTGGAGGCCCCAATGTAAATGTTATGGAGCCATCAAAGGAGCCGGGAGCGGCAGGTGGCGCCTGGCGGCGGCAGCAGCGGTGCGCACAGTGCGTGTGCATCCTGCTGACTTGCTCTTTGCTGCAGGCAATGTGATGCGCCAGTATGAAGCGACTCAATAATTTGATGATGCCTCCGCTTGCGCTTTTGACAGGTGCGCGACCAAGGGGCCGCCCTGCGCCAGCTCAAGCAGCCGTGGGGCGGCGCCGCCGATGGGGCCGAGGCTGAGCGCGACCGAGTGGGTCCGCCGGCCCCACAAGGCCAGCCCAACCGAAAGCAGCGAACTCATCATCACCAAAGTCATTATCAGCAGCAGGAGCAGCAGGATCAGCAGCCAGCCGGCGGCGCCGGCCGGCCGCACGGCCGGTACGCGCAGCCGCGGCCAGAGGGCCGTCGGCGGGCGCCGCAACGCCCGCCCGGTGCAGCGGGGCCGACCGCTGACGCAGCGGTCGCGGATCCGCGCCGGCTGATGGGCCTGATCAAGCAGTGCAAAGACTGGCAGGCAGTCCGTGACCTCCTGGAAGTTGCGGGGGCGGCTGCCAATCACATCCACCGGGCCGCCGCCGTGACGCACTGCGCGCAGCTGCTGCAGCGGCGCATGCCCGACGGCGGCCCGGCCGCCGCCGGCGCCGCGGGCGCCGCGGGCAGCGGGGACGCGGACGTGGGGGCGTGCAGGGAGTGGATGGTGCAGGCCGCCGAGCAGCTCGCGTGCTCGCATCTCCAGGCCTGCGAGCCGCGGCAGCTGTCGAACGTGCTCTGGGCGCTCGCCGCGGCGCGCTGCGCGGCGCCCAAAGAGACCGTGACTCTTCTGCTGGAAAGCCTGCGACGGCACATGCTGCCGTCTGGCGCCGGCGGCGCTGGCCGCGGGGTCGCGGCGCTGCACCCCCAGGACTTGTCGAACGCGGTGTGGGCGGCCGCGGCCCTGGGCTGCGACCCGGGGGTCAGGTGGATGCAGGCGTTCTGGGAAGCTGCCGGGCAGCTTCTGCCTGCGTTTGGGGCCCAAGAGCTCAGCAACGCGCTGCATGCGGCGGCGGTGCTGCACTCTGCGCCGCCGGCGCGGCTGCGACAGCCGATCCTGTGTGCTGTAGGCAATGTCTGGGGTGCAGCAAGCAGCAGGGGCAGCGGCGAAGCAGGCAGCAGCAAACCAGGCATCGGCGGCGGCGGCGGCATGAAGGAACGCCGCGCGCCGGCGCCCCAGGCCGTCAGCAACACCCTGTGGGCGCTCGCCACGCTCGAGCTGCGTCCCAGTAGAGAGCGGCTCGCGTCATGGTTGAACGCCTCACTGGCAGCCGTCCCAGAAATGAGCCCGCAGCAGCTGTCAAACGCGCTGTGGGCGGCCGGGCGCTTTGGGCTGCCGCCCGGCGCCGCGTGGGCGCGTGCGTGCCGCGAGGCGGTTGCGCGGCAGCTGCGCGGCTTCACACCTCAGGGGCTGGCAAATGTAGCGGCAGCTGCTCACCACCTGCTTGGACAAGTGGACTCAGAGCTGGCAGGCGGGGAACAATGGGAGCAGCAGCAGCAGCAGCAGCAGCAGCAGCAGCAGCAGCAGCAGCAGCAGCAGCAGCAGCAGCAGCAGCAGCAGCAGCACGGGCGGGATACGCAGGCGCATGGACATGGAATGGGACGGGCGGCAGTCGATGAGGAGCAGCTGCAGGTGCGTGCTGAGCTGGCGCTCCTGCGGGAGCTTGCGGTTGAGGAAGCTGCCCGGAGAGGCGGCGAGGGCCTGTCTGCACTAGACTTGGAGGCGTTTGCCTGGGCAGGATCGGGCAGCAGCAGCAGCAGCAGCAGCAGCAGCAGCAGCAGCAGCAGCAGCAGCAGCAGCAGCAGCAGCAGCAGCAGCAGGAGTGAAGGCAGCAGCATCGGGAGGCTGCTGCCGAAGGACCCACCAGCGGAGGGCGCCCAGGCCCTGTCGCTGCTGTGGGTCGCGGCGCGCGCCTGCGCGCACGGCGGCGCCCCGCCGCCGGGCGACGCGTGGCTCGACGCGTGCTGCGCCGCCGCGGCGCGGCGGCTGCCGCTCGCCACTCTGTCGGAAGTGGCCAGGGCAGCATGGTCGATGGCGAGCCTCGACCGGCGGCTGCGGCGGCGGCACAAACAGCACCCGCTCGTCATTGGCACCGGCAGCGAGCAGCAGCAGCAGGAAGAGGGAGGGATAGAGGAAGGGCAGCGGCGCGGCAGCGGCGCCGCGCGCCTGAGGGCGGGGCTGCTGCAGCAAGTCGCGCTGCGAGCGGGCAGCATGTCGTCGCCGGAGCTGGCCGAGGCTGCCGCCAGCGCGGCCGAGCTGGCGCGGGCCTGCCGGCCGCCGCGCTCCCTGGCGCCGGCTCTGCTCGCCGCAGGCGCGCGGGCTTGCGGATCCGCGCCCACTGAGGACCTGCTGCTTGTCGCGCAGGCGCTCGCCGCGTTTGGCATCCGCCACTTGCCGGCGCATGCAAGCGTCAGCAGCGGCAGCGGTGGCGACAACAGCAGCAGCAGTGCGCACGGGCCGCAGCGCGGGCATCGGCCGCGGCGCGTCACCCGGGACAGTGGGGGTTCTGTTGGCGCGGGCCCCCAGCAGCGATTGCTGCAGTCTGCGGCTGACGCAGAGCTGTATCTGATAGGCACAGCGGCGTTGAGAAACACGCCTCAATCGTCACCAGAGCAGGTGGCTCGAGTTGCACATGTATTTTTTGCGCAGCTGGGGCGCCAGCCCAGCGCAGCAGAGGCCGCGGCAGTCGCGCATGCGCTGCCGCCGCCCGCACTGCGGGCGCTGAGCGCGCGTCGGCTCGCACAGGTGCTGCAGGCAGTGGCCGCGTGGCCGCCCGCGCTGCAGCCGGCGGACGCCGACTGGTGGGTGGCCGCGGCCGACAGCGTGGCGGCGTTCGCGTCTGCAGAAGCCGCGGCCGGCGGCGGCAGCGGTGGCGGCGGCGACAGCAGCGACGACGGCGATCGCGACGTGGACAATGCCGGCCTGCTGCTCGGCGCTGCGGCGCGGCACTCGCCGCGGCGGGCGGCGCTCGCACGCGCGGAGGAGCGGCTGTGGCGCTGCTTGGCGCAGCGCGTTCGCGGGGCAGACGTGCAGGCCCTAGCGGGGATGCTGCGGCGGCTTTACAGGTGGGTTGCGTTTTCAACCGTGTCCAGGGCACCTTGCTTTGTGATTTGCATCAGCAGCTCAGCGAGCACGTAGCTACTACGTCCCAATCGATTGTACTTGCACTTGCCATGCCTAAACGCTCCCCCATCGGTCCTGGTTTGCCGCTCGCAGCGCGCGCGCCCGCCCGCCCGACGCTTGGCTGCTGACCTGGCAGCAGCGGCTGCGGGGGCAGCTGCCAAAGGCCGGCCTCGCCGACCTCCACGCTGCCGCCCGCGCGCTGCGACGCTGCGCACTTCACGCGGCGCCGCCACCGCGGGCAGCGGCGCAGGGGCAGCAGGAGGGGGAGCAGCGGCAGCAGCGGAGGGAGCGGCAGTCGCATCACCAGCTCAGGGCACTGGCGCCGGAGTTGGGCGACGAGCTGCTGATTGCGGCGGCTCGCGCGCTGCGGCAGGGGCGCCATGAGCAGCAGCAGCAGCAGCAGCAGCAGCAGCAGCGAGCCGATCCCGACGAGCACGCAGCCAGCGGCACGGATGGGAACAAGGACCCGGCGGCCAAGCGCGCAACGGCGGCTGTGTCACTCCTGAGCGATCTCGTAGAGTTGAGGTGTGATCTGGCGCCGGAGGCGCTGGGCACATTCCTGTCCGCGCTGCTCGGCGG